CCTAACCTGGTTAAATAAAGACTAAATATAAATCTAAGTTTATCCAGTTCTTGATTCTGAAAAATCAAATCAACTCCTGATAGAATCCAATCAACCTCTGATAGATCCAGCACCACGCTTGGTCAGCAGAAGTGCCGTGACTCTTTTCACTGGTCGATTAACTAATTATTAAAGTCGATAGATGGATTTCAAGAATTCTGGTGCATGTCTCTTACATGTTAATACCATTTTACTATGAATAGGAGATTATTGGGAGACAGAGCCTCCAAGTCATGGGGGTCTGTGGATGGCTTTGTTATTGGCCTGCTATTGAGAATAGCTTAAACTTTATATAACACAGCATGTATACTGTCATCATCCAGAGTTTGAATTGAGGTTCTTTCTGATTGAATGGATAAACCTCTCCCAGGCTCCCCATTGATGGGAAACACTTGGAGGATTGAACTTCCATTTCATTCCCTTCGGCGTGAGAGTTCATGGTGGATATGAGCTAGACTCCACTGTTCCAAAGATCTTTTTTAACTCTTGATCAGTACTGACAAAGTTGGTTCTGTTGTCTTTGCCTCTTCTATATCATTCTATATCTTTTCACTTTAGATCTTCCACATTTCACTTCACCTGCATGACCTTCATCTTGATCCTTATTCTTTGGGTGAATAAGAAGCATGCAAGGGGGTTAGTGCCACATGTTTTTACCTGACAAGTCTTTTCCTGCAGTCCTCATGTGTGACCATGGTAGTTACCTTTGCTGCTCTCTTTGTGTGGTCATTAGTGTCCTGTATGTTGCCAAATAGACGGTCTGTTGTCATTTTACTTGCCATTCAATGAAGTTCACAATGTCAAAAAACTTAGCTCTTCTTAAATATCAAAAGCTACTGACCTCCATTTGTCTCTTAGATCGTATGGCAACTTTTGGATCATCATCAGCATGTTAAGCTCATACATTCAACTCTGTCATTCTTTGAAATCCTCTTAAAAAGATACCATAAACTTTAAGAGTTTTAACAATCTACACTTTAACCACAGGCCATGAGAATGCTTTGTCCAAATACCCAGAGGAAATATTTTGTTCATTCCCAAAATGTTATTCCAGTAATGCCCATGCCTTCTGATAGCCTTTGTCTGAGGACATTTGTTGATAGCTTCAAACAAGTTTGCGTGGTTCTCCCCTTGTGTGCTGGGCCAAAAAGTGCAGACAGAATTCACTGTCTTCTGTTCTTTCTACATTGTACTCAAAGGCTCTCAGAAAGGCATGATATTGAATTGGATCTCCATCAAACACCTGGGTGTCTTGGTTGTTTTATTTCAGAGATCCAGCATTTTACATCTGCAATAAATCCCTTGCAATGTTTACTGATGCATCAAACCCCACCTTTTGTTTGTCCTTTTCGACCTCAGGAAATATTTCCATCAGTGACTCATACAGGTACATTGCTTCCTCATGCAAATACATCAATATGTCCAGTTGGACTTTCACCTCAGTAACATTATCATTCTACCCCTTTAGATAATTTTAAGATGGATTATGTCTTTTATTTTATTCACTCTTACTTGGAATTCCTTTTGGAGATTTTACACATTTTACACCATTTTGCACATAAAAGCACTGAAGCTTCAGTGCACGCTTCAAAATCGACAGGTTGAATATGCCTAAGCAGTGGGCCTATTACATTGTTTATGAAAGATTATTGTTTCATCGGTTAAATGAGAAACACAAAGTTTTTGTATATACAGAATAGCAGCATCACATTTTTAGGATTTGATGCAACAATCGCTTCAGCCAGTAGATGTCACCCAAGGGAATTGAATGAAGCTTTGGGCAGTGAACCAGGTGATATTTGTTAGACAATCATTCAGCTACAAACACACAACCACAGACTAGCTTCACCCACGCACACACATCCATACTGCCAGACATGCACATTACACCCAATGACAAGTACAAAATACACATCCTTGCTTCTACACTCAACATTTCACTTATTTAACATAAAAAATGTATGTGTGCATGTGAAATGTGTAGTTAGTTGTAAACCAGTAGGTGTAAAAAGGATGAGCAGTAAATCAGAGTGAAATATAAAACTGGGCAAATCAGGTAGACTTCAGTTTGCAGCTATTGCTATGTTTATGCTTGACCTATTTAAAAATATGGCCTTCATTAACCATATCCAACAAATATAATTATTATGTAAGAACCTAAACCTGTCTTCATATCATAAAAAAGAGCAGAGTTGCAGCTGAAATTTATATTTTTTCATTCCCCCTGTGAAATAATGGTGCAAGGTTTATTTACAAGGGAAATGGAACCACTTTAATTCAAAGATAAAACCTAAAAATGATTTAAAAAAATGAAACACATGTACCATCCTTTATTTTGTGAGACAGTTTGCCCTCACCATAAAAAAGTGTCTTCGCTGTGTCATATAAGTGATCTGTGCCTGAAATTTTCTGGGAAAAACAGGGATGCTCAAAATTCTATGAATCTCTAGGCCCATTAAAAATCACAGTAGAGTGTAATGAGCATTTGCTTGCCAACATCTACAGGCTCCTATGGTAAATGTCCCTTTTTCTTAATGCTTTTCTTGTGACTGATCTCAGCTAAAATGTGCAGACTTAGAATAAATTGAGGTAATCCTGCTCCCTACACAGAGTAAATGGGGGTATTCATTTGACTTGGGATAATTTAGGCTTACTGAAACCGAAAATCTAGGATATGCAGGGATTTTCCCCCAAATTTATTCTAAATATTTACTTCTCCTAGCCTGGAAGCTAGACTAATCAACATCGTGTTGACAGCATATTGTTTATTATTGATTATTTTTATTACTGATGTAGGTGCTTGTTAAATCTTAATAATACCTGCCTGTTATGTGTCAATACAAATGTTTTCCCAAGCACTTTATCTGTGTAGGACAGCTCTTCTGTCAGGATAAAAGTTAGCATCTTCATTATGTACATAACGAATGTTTGGGAACAGAATGGGAGCATTGTGCTTGATCCAGAGCGCTATAATATCTTGATATGGCTGGAGCCAGTGAAGTCTCCTCACGTACAAAAATGTGTATGATGTAATCATGAGATATGATGATGTGCCCAGGTGGAACACTAGAGATGTGTAAAATGCTTTCTTTAAATCGTTATTCAGGGCTGCTGCTGACTCTGATGAAGTGAAGCCGATGGCCCATCATCACCATGAAATCTCTCTGGTCTGAGTAAGATTACGGTTCTGTAAAAGCTGTTGTCATGTTTTCTATTCATTATTACATAAACCTTATAAAGTGTGTTTTAAAGTGTTTGTTCCGAGTGATCTCTTCTGTGGATAGAATTGAGTAGAGAGAGCTAAAATATAAACACAGAGCTTTCTTTTACAGTGTTATGAGTTATGCCATGTAAGTCAGTCTGACTAGAATGCTGCCCTCATCCTGATTTAAAAACAGTGCCTTGGAGTATTAGCAGACATATCAGTCCTTCCAGTCCAGCCAGGGCATCCCTCTCTTCTAACACCAGTTTTGCTGCTAAATCAATAAGAATAATCTCATTAGCCACTGTGTTGCGCCATATGCCATGATCATACTTTTTGGACATTGGGAACAAATGTCCATATTTCATCTTGACATGATTATGTGGAATCAGCTGTGGAATCTCTGCAACATCCCCCGTTTTCTCTTGAGTTTCAGAACTTATAGAGCCAAACTGCATGAGAACCATGCCCTGGGTGTGAGACAAAAAACCCCTGGTCAGCTGCAGCTGGATGGAACTCAAGCTTTCCAACTGGACATGGAAAAAAAAAAAAGAACAAACGTGTTTACTGCTGAGTAAAGACAACGCTAATTGACACTAAAGAATGGACTGTATGCTACGCTATGCTACAGGAATATGTGCTGAGCTGTTGCTGAAGCTTGGACAAGCTTTATTCCACTAACAGTTAAAACACTGGTATAACATTAGTGTTCATGTGTTCTTTATATTCTCATTACATTTCCATTACCAAGTATGACCAAGACTCATTTAGTGGAATCCTGATGTCTATTTGCTGCTAGCTATTTCAAAGAGGGTAAAGAATCATTTAGCTAAAGGTTTTTGGTTCTTGATTAAGCAAATCATTTAATAAAACATTATTCGGCCAAATTATGTTTTATTCACCTCATGGATTTGTATTGTGAATTGCTCTGAAAACATTCCAATTTCTTTCAAATTAGTGAAAAGCTAATTTGATCATTTGATCATAATCCCAAATTCTTCCAGATAAACTTTGGTTTCAAACACAAAAATCCATTTTAAACTGTAATACGGTTTTCAACCATGTTCCCCTTTCTCTTTGTACTTAGTAGTTTAGTTTAGTTGAGTTTTACTAGTCTTAGTTGAGATTGTTAAACTGAAATGTGTTTGACTTGGAGCTGAATGATTTTTGTTAATAAACTCATATTTTGAACAGAAGTTGTGGTGAATTTATTCCATGTATGTGCAGAATCAACTGTTTGACCATGATTAGTGCTCGAATCACTCTTTCATCTATTGTTCTAACACACAGCTAGTAGGGCTGTGTATCATAAAAAGTATATAACAGACGAAACAATATCTGATTAAATACGATTTTACCCCCCCTACTGGGGAGGATATAAACATCTTAAAGTATCAGAAAATATAAATTCCCAACTGGCTGGAAATAAAATTGAAAACAATATAAAATCACAACACAATTCATTTTTACTCACCCCCCCAAAAAAAATATTGCTGAAGTATCAATAACCAGAATATATTCACCTCAGAATATCAGCTCTGCATCAGTGATCCCCGTTTATAAGTCACACATTGCAGATCAGAATCTGCATAAAGTCAATCCATCCATCATTAAATGAACTAACTCATTTAGGCCTTACAAAAAAACTCTGAATCTTTAAACAGAACAAAACAGTTTCAGTGCAGAATGTAGGATTTCTTATTGGCTGTTACTCTTATTTAACTTTATTTTTAAACAAAATAATTTTCAGTCTTATTTCCTGATCAGTTTATATGACACCTGAGTCAACCAGATTAAAAGCATTCAAACAGGAGTGTCCCTCAATCTATTAACCTGCTAAACAAAGACTGCTGAAGTAAACAGATGCTGGCATTGTGGAAGTTTAAGGAAGGAATAATGTATTCTGCTTTCTCCACAATTATGTCAGTTATGTCAATCCAACACTTTTCATTATGACATCTGCTATAAACAAGCATTTTTACATATCTGATGTCTGGAGAGCATCTCAAGAACCACAAAAGGGGCCTCAGCCCCAATTTGGAGATCCACAGCTTTACATGGTAAATTATATGCCAGACTTGTTTTTTTAAAGAGCAATGTGTGGTGATCAATATCTTAAAGTTTAAAAATGTGCCACAGTTTGCAGGTAAGCATAGAGGTATGAGGCTTACATTAAAGCAAATGGTAGATTTGACATAAAAAATAAAGCTAATCATATGAGAGTTAGGGGATCTATGATAAAGACCAGATTTAAACCAAATCTGGACATTTATTGCAAATCAAATCTGCTTTAAATCTATAATTTCACAAGTTTATTGAATCAGATCAATCATAGTTGTTTTATGAGCACCATTTTAGTTAATCTGATAGATAAACTGATGTCATGCTTAAAAGAAAATGAAATGTGAGTCTTCAACATTTCTTCTAAGAAACGGACAAATACAATCCAGTTTTTCTACTTTCTCAAGGAAAATATTTTTGTTTTCAAAAAGTTTTATAAGGTGACAGCAGCAAATAACAGCAGTTAAACTTAAAACAGTGTAACTAACGAGGCATAGCCATCTTTTTCAGTCCCAGTTGTTTCACTGAAATCATTGAGCATAAATCAGTGAAAGTGCATTAATGTAAAACAACCTAAAAGAAGGCAGAAAGTGCTCCTCTAAGTTCCTTTAAATCCCTCAACAGGACAAATAGTGACTCCCACCGTCCCCTCACTCTGTCCCGTGGCCCAGCTGTGTAGTGACCAGCATATGGTAGACTCCCTTCTTTGCTAGCAGCTGATGATGCGTCCCCTGTTCAACCACCACGCCTCTCTGGAAGACGGCAATGCGGTCGGCGTTCCGGATAGTAGACAGACGATGCGCCACGATGATGCACGTTCTGCCTTTGCTGGCCTGGTCCAGGGCGTCCTGCACCACCTGCAGAGAGACGAGGAAATCATCAACATGCTCTAGTAAAACCAATTTCCATTTATGAACTAAACCAGCAAGACATGGGAAGTACTTTTGCATGCAAAGTTTATTTATTTTTTTTTTTAAATAAGTTTTATAGATGGTACACCTGCTTGAATGCTCGCTCCGGCTACAGATCATTTCCTCCAAGTTGATCTCGAGATGATGTGTGTCTTTCTAAGACAAGGGTCATTGAGGTAGACGAGGACTGAAACTTGCAGCATTTCATCAAGCAATAAGCGCTAGCCGTCTTCATATAGGCCACCCAAATACATTTAGTAGGTAATATACAAGACAGTATTATGCACTGCCCCAAGATGCTTTCATCTGTATCAGATCTCTTCTATTAAAGATATTTCTAGCATCAGACAGATAAAGAATGATGCCCTGGCTCTTTCTATGCTGGCAGGCTACTCAGAATAAACGAATGATCTGAAAGTTTCTTGGCCCCATCAGGCCATTAAAAATGGCCTCTCTCAACGAGTCTGGTTCTGCTTCAGGGCTTTCCCCATTAAATATTAGCCGTTCTTGTCCACTGTCGCCACAAGCTTACTCAGAAGTAGTAAAGTGCAACTCTGAGTTAATCAGTTGTGTTTCCTTTGATAAAACACCTTTTGGGAATAACTAATAAAGCCAAAATGAATATTTTCTATTATCCTTTAGGACAAACTGGACTGTGTGCTGATTGACCTGAAGCTCAACATTATGGCTGATTCTTTAGAGAATACAACTGCTTATGCTCTACTTCTTCTTTACATAGACTAGGATTCGGTAAACCAGTTTTGCCATAAATGTTAGTACCATGAAATAAAATATTGACCTTACCTTATTACCAACTAGTGTTTCTTAGTAAGTCTGTTTCCCGATGCGTTTGTTGTTCGTACTATATTTCCTTTCCTTTGTCATTCTTGTGTCAAACCACTGATATAACTGCTGAATCTGCATTTACTATAGTTATGATATGAGAAATGTACTCTTTAGATAACCAATAGTAGCATATGGAACCCTTTAAGGTCCCACCCAACTATATATACATATATAATTTTTCCTGCAGTTATTAACATTCTTTATTGGGCTTCATGGCACTGTGTGCCCACCATCCTTTCTAGGAAGTGATTGATTTTGCAGTTGCTTGAAGATCATTTAGTAATCAAAGCTTTAGTGATGGAATAGAAAGACAAACCTTCTCACTCTCTGTGTCCAAAGCAGAGGTAGCCTCATCCAGCAGCAACACTTTAGGGTTGCGGAGGATGGCCCTGGCGATGGCTATTCGCTGCTTCTGACCACCAGACAACTGCGTTCCCTTATCGCCCGCCTGAGTGTTGTATTTCTGCTCAAGCAGAAAAGAGGACAAAAAGAGTCAGAAACAGAGATTTTATAGTAGCATTACATATTTGTGGAAGCAGTTTCCTGTAATCAAGTCTTATGTTTGCAGGATATTTATGTTTTGGGTGAGTCATTGCCTGTTTTCCAGGAGGGTTTCCTTCACTTGGGATATTTTGTTCCAATTATAGAAAACTTTAAACTGAGCCTGAAGCCGAGTGAGAAAACAGCTGCTAAATGGTTGTCCATTTTTTGGTTACAGAACCTACATTACAAATCATGTTGCAATAAATAGGTGAGCTCAATGAGTATAAATATTAAAGTTTAAAATATCTGTAAAAAATGTTAAGATATTTTTGAATCTGAGAAGATATAATCAAAACTGCATAAGTCATACATGGTTAATTGTAGTTAAAGCATAAACCATTACTTTTAAACGTTGCGAGTCATCACAGACATTTTATCTGGATGACCAAAGACCTTTTAAACCTCATAAAGGTAACTGCTTGATAAAAACTGCTTAAGATTACCTCAGACGTTTTCTTGCAGCCTTAAAATTTTTAGAAAAAAAATCTGAGAAAAGCTATCAAGAGTCTATTGTTTGAAGTTGTTTCAAAAGCTGTTTAGATAACCATGCAGGAAGTAACCTTTGCCCCAGACCATTCCAATATTGTCCCTCTAATTTGGAACAGTGATGCTCTTTCACAATCCCAAAGAGGCTTGTCAGGTTAAAGGTATATAAACCTGCACACATTTTCTTTGATTATATACTTTTCATTTAGGATGACATTTCTGCATATGAAATGAAAAACTCTTATATCATTAATTTAACTGTTCCGGTTTAATATTATGAAATGTTTTTTTAGTAGCTGTAAGCATGAAATCATATTTAACAGAAATAAAAGGCTTGAAAACATAATTTATATAGTTGATTTCACTGACTCCATTGAGTGAGTGAAATTATGCTTTTCAATAATATTGTAATCTATTGAATATAACTGTTCACTTGTAAATATTCAATTCAAGATGAAACCTGGATTCAAGTCCTGCAGAAATATAGCATCACATCAAAATATAAAATCAACTTTATTTAAATATTTAATCAACTTTAAACACTGCCAGTAATAACATCATGGGTGATAAGAATAAGTTGGAAAATGTTTTTCTGTGGACTGGTTTGGTTTATCAGAAGTGTTGATTCTTGTCCTCCTTAACCATATAAATAGTAGGCAAAAACATCCAATATATTATGTTTGTATGAATTATAAACAGTCTATAAGATATGCTATCAAAAAAAAAATATCTCTCAGCTAGAACATTTTTATACTTTCTGGTGATAAATACTAAAATTAGAATTTGCTGCATACATAATTTTGTTTTAAGCTGCTTAAATTATAAAAAAAAAACCCACACAAAATGTTTTATTTATCACCAAGAAAAGAAAATCTAGCTGAAATAAGCTTATCTGGTGTAAATTCGATAATTCAAATATGTAAAGATGACCTTTTAGGATAGATATCCCCATATAAAATATCATGGCGTACATATTTATAAAAGGTTTCTGAAAATCGGAATATTTTCAATATGAGATTTTTGGTGACATGATGCTACATTAGGTACCTCATCTTTCTTCCTCAACAAGCTAAACAAAGAATGTGCTCCAACATTTGCTGAAGGAGACGAACCTGACCTGAAATAGAGGAGATATGACAGGATAATAACCCAGATGTTCTGTGTGATGTGTGTGCATTTACCTGAGGCAATTCATCTATAAAGCTGTGAATGTTGGCAGATTTTGCAGCTGCCTCTATCTCCTCCATGGTCACCTTGCGGCTGTTGTCGCCATAGGCGATGTTTTCCGCCAGCGTGCAGTTGAAGAGCACCGGTTCCTGGGACATGATGCCAATCTGAGATCTGAGCCAGTGGATGTTCAGCTGTTTCACATCAATGCTGTCCATCACCTGGAGGATAAAGCATGTCCCAAATTAAGTGATCAAACTGAGGCTAAAACTCCTGGGAATCTTGTTAGAGTATATAGTATCATGACGAGCACACAAAAAGCTGGTCTGTGCACCTTACAGTTGTAGTGGCAGCAATATATTATGCCTCCAGTGCCATTACAGGACAAAACAATTCAGAGCCTTCCTCAGTCATGCCAGACTGTGTTTGAAACCAGGCCAACCTCATGGCTGGTTACAATGTGAATGGGGCAACACCTTGGCCACAAACGCACAGTTGGGCCAAAAGGTAATAAGATTACACAACATGAGAGACTGACAGAAATGTCATGTAGATCCAAAGCCCTCCTAGTTGAGACAATGGCTAACAAAAAGGCAGTCTTATATGAGAGCCACTTGAGCTCCACTGCACCAAGGGCTTGAAAGGTGAACAGCACAAAGTGTTGAAAACCAAAGGCAGATCCCAGTCAGGCACTTGAGGAGAGAGCAGCAGGCGCCAACTATGAGCACCTCACAGACAAAGAGAGACCAGACTCCAGTCCCCCACCGGACGGTCATCAACAGATGCATGATGTTAGAGTGCTGCCACATATGCCTTAAGGGTTGAAGGAGAACGACCCCTATCAAGCAGAGACTGGAGAAACTTCTCAATAGTAGGCACTGGACAGGAAACTGGGTCCTTATTTCAGGCCGAGCACCACTGAGAAAATAGAAGTAATCTATTGTTATGTTGCTCCCGAGTGGAGGGTGCCCAAGCACTCAACATGGTACACCAGGCACACCAGGGTCTTTTCACATTGGTGACCCGGTCCTAGCTTGCAATTACCTAAGGGGTCCCAGGTGGGTGCCAGCGAAGGTAGTGGCCATTACCGGGCCACTGTCATACCAAGTACGCACCAACGATGACTTAGTGTGGCGTCGTCATACGGACCAACTGCTGGCCAGCAGGGGCCCTGCCCCGGATCCAATGGGTTCCTCCCCGCAAGATATCTCCGACCGGGCAGACGCGGTGGAGGACCAGGCCGCCCCGGACACCCTGTCAACCACACTTCAAGAGGACAACGTCACAGACCAGGTTCCCCAGCCCCCATTGACGACGGATTCAGCGCCACCGTCGTCTCCGGTGACCCACCATCCTCACCGGTATCCCACGCGGGAGCGACGGCCTCCTGACCGCCTGAACTTGTAGTTGATGGATTTTCATATCCTTTTTTTTCTTGTCGATTGGAAATTTTGAAGTTAGGTTATACCCCCTGTTGGGGTACGTTATCTTATTCGGGGGTTAGTCTTACTGAATATGGGAGGAGGAAATGTTAGATATTAAATCGGGTTTCACTGTTGCTATGTTTGTGCCTCGGCGGCCACCGTACCCCCATGTTACGTAGGGGATTGTTTTTCCTGTATCCTGCCAGTTCTATTCAGTAAAGCGGACCGCAACCACCATACTACCCGTCTCCTCGTTATTGAAATAAAACCCGGATAAATACATGACATGGGTCATACTACAAGTCTTACTTTGGGAAGGTAGGCCAAAATGTATATTTGGAGATTTTGTCTTTTTTATTATAAGCATATAATAGCCAATAATTACACTATAGATCATTGTAGTGCCACCAAACTTGTAGCACACATAGATAACCTAATCTAGTTCAGACTACAACTCTTACTTTGGGAAAATGTGCTTAACTCTATTTTTGTTTTGATTTTTCATTGTTATTATAAGAATATAAAAGCCAATAATTACTTATGACTTAGACAGATTTATTTTGTCATTTTGTATACACAAGTGTAAACAAAAAGTAATTTTGTTTAAAACAGCTCTAGAGAATTACATATTTTAAAGTGCAGCCTTGAAAACAGTAATAAATACATTTTAAAAATAGTTATATAAACATATGACTGTATATTTACAGTTCTAACATTCTTTTCTTTCTTACTTGGGGAAGATAGGCCAATCAGTATTTTTGCAGATTTATTCATTGTTATTATAAGCATATAATAGCAAATAATTACACTATAGATCATTGTAGTGCCACAAAACTTGTAGCACATAGATAACATCATCTAGTTCATACTACAACTCTTACTTTGGGAAAATGTGCTAAACTCTATTTTTTAGATATTTTTCATTGTTATTATAAGCAGGCCAGGTGTGCAATCTCTGCAACAGGAACCACAGCACTGAACGAAGTATAACTGTCAAAAATGCAGGAAGGACTCATCTTGGGTTTGTGAAAACTGCTAAATGGGACAATTGTACGTAGCTTCATATGTAGTGCTTTTCCTTGGGTGAAATAAATGTTACTGCTATACTGAAATCATACTGTTTGTCATTCTCTAAGCTGAATGTTGAATGACATGAAAAGGTGAGACAAGACAAAACACAATTGTTCTCTATGTTTCTTTTACATAGTGAGCTTTGCAATATAAATGAGTCTGTTGGTGAATGGACAATATAAATAGGTTCTGCCTTGCCTTGTTGGAAAAGAATGGTTATGACCTGTTCTCAGCTCAGGAACTAGGATCCGTATGATATCTGGTTGTTCAATAGCTTTGCCTAAATAAAAAATTTAGATATCACTTATCAAGATATTCCTGCTAGAAGGTCTGATGTTGCTGGGGCAGGTAATGAAAAGTGTTTGGATTATGCTCTTGTTCTAAGGCCAGTTTGTTTCAGGCTTATCCAGTCTCATGTAGAAGGGCTGGTCATATCACAGGTTATTTGCATTACATTAGGGACAGTTAGCAATGTAGAGTGAATACGCAAACTTGAAGAGGGGAGGGGGGCTTACAGGAAAACTGGAATTCTCCGGGACATCTAGTGTTAAAGTATCAGAAATATAAATTCCCAACAGGCTGGGAATAGAATTGAACATAAAATCACAACACTCAACTAAAAGGGATGACGCTATATAACTTAAAAATCTTCTGTACATTTATATTTTATTTTAGATTATCTGTATTATAAACAGAGAAAAGAAAGCTTCATATTAAGGTTTGTGATAAAGCCAGACACCAGAACATGATAATAAATGCTCTCTCTCTCTCTCTCTCTGAGATTCAATAAATGGTTTTAATCCTAGATCAAAGTTTGCCTGGTGAATTAACTCTGCGATGTCTTTATGCGCCATGAACTGTTGTTTATGGTTCAGTCAAACATTAACTATCAGACTGGAAGGGCAGGGAGCTCTCATATTGAGGTGTGTGTTCCTCCTCCTTACCACTCGGCCCTCTCTGGGGTCGTAGAACCTCTCCAGCAGCTGGATGGTGGTGCTCTTTCCACAGCCGCTGCTCCCAACAAGGGCCAGAGTCTCTCCTTTCTTCACACTCAGATTCAGGCCTTGCAGGACGGGCACGTCTGGCCGTGTAGGATAGTTAAACTTCACCATATCGAAGGTCACGTTACCCTCAAATGTATCCTTTAGATCAGAAAGAGGTGTTGCATAACAATGACTTTGCAGAAAGACCTTCTTGTACTGTGTAGAAGGTGAGTGTTGCTTGGTGCCATACCGGTGACTCTCCCTGCTCTGAAAGGTTGTCAATCTCTGCCTCTTTGTTCAACAGCATCATGAGGTGGGAAGCAGACATTTTGGCCTTGGCGTAGTTTGGAGCATAAGAGTTGGCTTCTCCGACCGCCATGGCTCCGAACAGAACGGCAGAAATCACACTGACAGAAAAACAAAAAACAAATACTTATTAGATTTCTGATGAACAAAACTGTAAGTTTAGCCATATTAACAGTTTATAAGGGGTCCCAAAAAAATATTCACACCTCTAGAACTTTTCCAGGTGAATAGGATGTCGTATTTATTTTATTTTCCTAATATGTGGTTTAATGCCATTAAATAGCAAAATGCACAATCAAATAATTAAATGTATCATTATATTAAAAACACATAAAATAATGAAGAATTCAATGTAATTTATTTTTTTTAGTGACATTATTACTCGTAATTAAATATATTTTTAGGGGTTAGCCTAGTTCTACTGCATTGTTTGTTTTGGGATTCAAAGGCTGAAATATTTGGGAAACCCTTTATTAGCAAACTTTTTATTGCTACCGTATTATTCACACTATAAGCCGCACCAAATTTATAAGGCGCACCTTCAATGAATTGAAAAGACACATAGAATAGAAGCTACAGTAGAGTTGGGCTATACATCCACTAGATGCAGCTGCGCTAAAGAGAATGTCAATATAACAGACAGATATGCAAGTCAAACTTTAATATACTGTATTATGGTATTTACAATATGACCAACCTTCTTAAGCTGTAAACCTACACTGTCTCCCTGTCTCGGTGAACGTGTGTTCGCCTTCTACATCCGCTGCTCCCAAGCAGTTAACAGTCTAGCTTTAAATGCCATGTGGACACCAATATCTAGCGGCTGGAGTTATTTTATCAATCCACCCGGGATGACACCAAGCATTGAATTAGTGGACTTCACTTGTTTTTCTGACACCATCGGTGATATGGGAGCGCATCGAGTTGTAGATCAAAAGGGACGGAGCTGTGTGAAAAAAGCCACCCTGTCTCCCAACGTAAATTTCTCTCAACCACTTACTCATCTTCTCTTCATCCATCCATCCCTGCGGAGTTAGCTTGGTGGGCAAGAAATACGGTAAAGGATGACTTTTCATTCCCTGTGTTGCGAACATTCACTGTACGTGCTCCTGTTTTATCCACAGTGGAACCTCATCCATGTTGATGATGTGCTCTTGTCTAATCTTTTTTCACAAATCTTTTTGCAGTATGCACGGAAAGAGGCCAGCTTTTCTTGGTAGTCTTTTGGCCGTTGCTACAAAACAGCAGTTCATGAGCGAATGGACAGATTACGTCATTTCATAAACCGCAAGCACCAAGAAGGACCGCCTCTTAAAGTCATTGTTAAGTTTGCGTGCTAAATAGTGACTGTTGAGACACTTCTACTTGCTGCTCTGTTCAATAACCCACTTTTCGAGTTTGTCCTCTAACTGTATCCATCTTGCTTTGTTCCTTCGGAAATTCGTTTCAGTCTTCTTTACCTGGCACAGATCATCTTCTTGCTTCCTACACTTCTTCACCATTGATTCATTAATGTTTAATTCTCAAGCTTCTGCTCTATTCCCATGTTTTACTGGGCAACTGATAGCACTAAGTCTAAACTCTACGTCATACGCCTATCTCTTGAAATAAGCCATTAGGGGCTCTTAACACACACAAATTAAAATGAAAATTCCAAGTATGCGCCAGGTGCTACTTCTTCTACGGGAGAGAATGGAGACGTCAGTTACCAGACCTGAAGAAGCTTAATCTTGATTTGTACATAGGGCATGCCGGAATTATAAGGCACGCTGATGGTTTTGGAGAAAATGTAAGGCTTTTAGGTGCGCCTTATAGTGCGGAAACTACAGGACTTTTAGAACAACATCTTTCTTGCCAAGTGTCTCCCTGTGGGACACAGAACCACTCTCCTCCCTTAACCATGCTTTGCAAAATCTTTGAAAACATAGCACTCGCAGCCTTTGATATTAAGATTTCGCATATATATATGTAATGTTGCCAAATCTAATATTTTTGATAAACACTGCTTAACTCAAGCAAAAAAAATAGTCATATTTATTTAGTATTATTCACAAAGTAATAAATCATATCTTTAAAGAAAATAGCAAATACAAGGGCCTTATTTTAGCTACATGCATCTTCTCACTCAAAAAGTTTTCTAAAAAGCTGTTTTATTTTTTATAATCTCCATGTTTGCTTCAGAGGTGCCAAAGCAATAGGAGGGAATATTTATGCAGTTCTATGTGTTCAGACTGTTCTGTGGACTTCAGACTCTGCTTAAGATAACAGGTACAATATAAATGGGAGCCATAACTATTTCTTGCAGTAAATTATCGATAACTGTATGATCCCAACACATGCTTATATGTAGAGTGAATCACCACATGAACAGGTGTAATCATTAACGCAATAAAAAGTTCTCTAGTGAGGGCAAGAATGTTTACCTGAGATGTTATCAGGTTTACATTTTTCTGATCCTAAACCGACTGCTGAACATCTGCCCAGAAGATAGGACAATACTCACAGGAATACTCCCTCCACATCCATCCTTCCTTCAATGATGAGCCAGGCTCCAAAACGGAAACAAGCTGCATAGGCAAAGTAGATCATAGCCTGGGAGAAGGAGAAGGTAAAGCCGTACACATGGGCCTTTTTCTGGGAGTTCCTGCGTAAAGGGGAAAAGTTAACTTCTTGATAATTAGCCTTCAGCTAAATCACATTTGATTGAATATCTGCACATACTTATAGGGAACTACCAGATTTTCCTGATACAAGGACTCAAACTTTGGTTCTCTTGTGAGAGAGGCAACGGTGCGTATGTTTTCTATAGCCTCTGTTGCAATCTAAAGAGAGAGCATTAAAAAAAAATTAGCCTAAAAAAACAAGGGTCTGTAGTAACATTTCCAGAGGGTGATTCGCCACCTTTCCAGCCTTCTCGAGCTCCTTCTTGTCTTCCGCTGCGTGCCCGGTGAGCATTTTCATCTGCACGGCTCCGGCCAGAGCAATGACAGGCACCACGGCCAGAATCAGCAGAGTCAGCTCCCAGCCGTACACAAACGCCAGGATCACACCGGTGCCGAGGTTGGCAAAGTTCTGGGCGAATGTCGCCAGGCGTACACCTGAGGCCTGAAGGATACGGAAAGTAAGATCAGCGATTTCAGCTGCTGGATCACTGCTACAACCTTCTGCGGAACATTAGTTCAACCATTTGAACTCACCCCCTGAACTTGGGCTGCATCTGTAGCCAGTCTTGTAGTGAGCGCCCCAACACTGTTTTTGGGGTTATCAAACCACCCAAGATCCTTCAGGACAACAATTAACATTTAAAAACAGTAAATGTTGTAAATAATAAAAATGCATAAAAAAAAAAAAGACAATGAGGTGAGAATACATCTTCAACAGGTTAGGTAAGAAGCAGCACATAATGTTTAGTTTCTGTCAGCTTGACCCAGACAGTTTATCTAGAGGAATGTCCAGCTTGAATATAAATGATTTGGTTCACAGTGATCCAACATGAGAAACTTCCAGACAAAAAAGTCTAACTCTGAGGTATTTGACCATCAGGCCCCTCCTGTAAGCCAATAGACAGGAAGGTAAAAACAACATTAGAATCAACGGGTCCATGAGAGAAGCTATGAAAAAGCCTAAATTTGACCTTCTTTCCATTCTGCTCTAGTTGTTGTGATGCTAAAAGCTAAATAATAAAGGCTGGGTCTCAATCTTGGTTTCTGCTGCATTTTCTTTCTCCTCTCAGATTTAAGTAGGACCCACAGTTCATAACCAAGCCTTTCTCTGGGGATTCAGATAAGAGCTTCTGGTCATTATTTACTGCTACAGGTTTAAACAAACAAGAGCTGGGAAGGCCATCAGGAAGGATTCCCATGAATTAAAAAGACCATTTAAGCTAATACCTGATCTATAGCCATTATATCTCGTAACCCCTGTGAATTGCCAAATGTTTCCTTCTAGTAGTTGCTCCAAAGAGGAATGACAAACACATGAAATAGAGAAGCCTCCGTAGTAAGAATTATCATCAAATAAAAGTTGAGAAACACCAACCAATGAGCTATAGATGGAAATCTGCTCATTTTCCCTTAACTGACTGACTTGTGATTTGCAAGAGGAAAAAATAAATGATTTCATTTTGATTCCTATTCCGTACAAGTTTAAAAAAACAATCCACTGGACTTGGTTTCAAAGGTTTGAAGACGTTTTGCTTCCCCTCCAGGAAGCTTTCTCAATTCAAATGAGAAATTGATCACTGGGATCAATTGACTGTGAAAAACTATTGGAAAGATATTACTGTCACTGTCTCATGGAAAGGCTTTTAAGATTTTGGAAACAGCTTTGTTTTCTACTTGTACATTTTGGGTGGGGTTGTTTGTTTGCCGTCTGAGTCATACATGCCTACCTAGAATCGGCCATAACATTAGGTACAAGGGGGGGGAAAAAGCATGAGTATAAAACCTGAAGATGCTGTGCCTAAGCGTCTCACTTCAGTCTCTGGATCAACCATACTAAGCGGTGAAGATAGCAACCAATTATTTATAGAGATTTCTTAACTTATAAAATGGTTAACTGTGTTACCTGAATGGCTTTTCTCCCATTTTAGGTAGTTGACAAGAGATATAGGACTGTTTGATGAGACTACTAAATTCTCTGATCATCTTTAATTTAAAATATGTATTTAATAAAAAATTTATTATCCCCCTGAAATAAAAAACATTGTTGCAATAAAATGCCTGAAAACTTTTTACAGTTAACAGAGAGCTAGCATAAATACATGGTTCATCCAAACGTTGCAATATTTCAGGGCTGTATTTATAATCTTGGTTAAACTAAACACACAAAAAGGAAACACTAAAAACAGAAAATATCTCCCGATTCCTATGTTGATGGCCGTTAGTTTTAAAGTAAAAAAAAATATTATGATTTAGTTTAAATAAAACAAGAAGAGTAGATCCATCATTCCTGCATCTCAAGATACAACAAGTTTAACCTGATTTAGCCAAACTTACAGGACAGAAATGACACGTAGGAAAGTGGGATAAGTCAGAGCTCTGAATGAGTTTAGTAGTAAATCTCTGCAGACCCAGCATTATTAGTTTTAGAAAACCAGCTAGCCGTTAATGCGAGACAAATGAATCCTGCAAGTTACTCCAGTAAACAACTCTGGTCCTTAAGTTATGCTAAGTCTGCTGTACACTTATTTAGGCTGTCAGAAACAATGAGGGATTATCGCCTCAGTTCAGCTTGTGCACACACCTGTCTCATCATGGCCTTGAAGGCCCCCAGCCTCAGCTTCAAGGTGAGAACTTCTCCAGATTTTCCAAAACAGAATCCCTAAGAAAAAGAACAGGAAACAAAACCAAACAGATATTAGCAGGATGTGTGTCATATGCATTAATGAATCATTGGCAGCTCTGTAATGTATTAAGCTTTCAAAAGTGACACCATGGAGAAGCCTTAACGTATTGTGACACCTTGGATCAGGGTTACGGTAACAATAGTTAGTTTGCTTTCGAAGTGCCAGAATGTGGATTATGTTTACAGATTAGCTGGCTGTGTCCCTGCTTCCTTTATGTCTGAGATACAACCTTTCTACTCAGGCTGGAAGCATTTCCTAATAGAACTAAAACAAGTAGAAACATTTTAATATTACAATAAGCATACTTTAATCTGTTTAAACTATTATATATATAACTATTATTGTTTCTGCCCAGCATATTACGTCACATTCTGTAGTCTTACTTTTGTAAGTGACATTTCCTTTAAGCTGTTCATATCGCTACAGGCTTATTATTGGCTCCAATACAAATACAGGTCTTCTTTCCAGAACGTAGTTGATCTTATTGGCTAATATCGCTTGTGCCCAGTGAGATCAAAAGTGTGTGCCTACCTGTAGAAACATGGTGAAAAGGGAAACGACTCCCATTACAACGAACATGAGAGAAAAGAAGTTGGCTCTTTTTCTGACAAGGTCCTGATCTGTCTCCACAAACACCTGAGAGGAGATTAATACAACCAGTTTGTTATTAACCCTCCAGAAGGCATATCCAGAATTGATAACAGGGCTGGCAGTGACTTACAGTGATAATCTTGGAGAAGAGGACGGCAAAGATAGGTTGCATCGCTCCATTTATGATGGCACAAATTAGCCCTACTAAAATATAAGGCCACTCAGAAGCATTTAGAAGCAGCACCCTAAACAACGACACCATGGGGACGTCTTCTTCCTGTAGGGAGAGAATTTGAGCAATATCTTGAGAAAGGATTCATGACGACGTGTGAGCTTTTATGTCTTCTAAGCATCAAGAGTTTCATAAAGATTTGTAATTTTTTCCCCGTTTTTCAAATCAACAAATAAAATATTACTCTAGAAACGTAACCTAAAACAACACCTCGTCCAAACTGTCCTCCTCATCCTTTAGCTTTTTCTCTCCCTTCTCTCCAGTCGAAGCAGCGAATGAAGAGCCTCTTGTAGATTTCCTCCTCAGCAGAGGAGACTCCATGATGTCTTTAATGGGACTTTTTTCACCTGCTGACAGCTCGTCCTCATCTTCCCCCTCCTCCGCTTTCTGGAAGGTCTGGAGAGAGGAAAAGCGGAACCCACGGGGGTTTAATTTATAAAAGACAGCCCTTCTAACACCCGATCTGGAGACATATGTATCCATATGTATGTATACCTGCATGGTGACCAGCGTGTGGTAGACTCCTTTTTTGTCCATCAACTCACTGTGAGTGCCCAGTTCTACAACTTTACCTTTCTGGAAGCCTGCAATCACATCAGCATTTCTGATTGTGGAGAGGCGGTGAGCCACAACCAGAGTGGTACGACCCAGACGCACCTGTGCAACCCAGTTGTATTAATTTGTGGAAAAATGCAGGTGTACAAACATTGTTTTAATATGGAAGATACAAATATCCATAGAACTTTCAACAGTCACTCCATCTTTTGCCTGGAACCGTACCTTATCTAGCGCAGCTTGCACAATGGTCTCACTCTCAGCATCCAGTGCAGACGTTGCTTCATCCAATAAAAGGATTTTGGGCTTGCGGACCAATGCTCTAGCAATTGCAATCCTCTGCTTCTGGCCTCCGCTCATCTGAGTTCCTCTGTCACCAACAAGTGTCTCAAATTTCTGCTCAGAATGGTAAGATCACCACATTAGACCAAAATAATATTTCTAGTTAATTACTAATGTGGCTGAAATGCTAGCAAAAGTCTGAGTTTACATCAGGAAGGTTCATGATGAAGTCGTAAGCGTTGGCCTCCTTGGTAGCAGTTTCAATCTCCTCTTGTGTCACGTCAGGTCTGCCGTAGCGGATGTTCCCGGAGATGGTGGTGGCGAAAAGGATGGGCTCCTGGCTCACCACCCCTATCAGTTCCCTGAGGTAGCGCACGTTAAGAGAGCGGATGTCATGGCCATCAATAGATACCTGCATGGATTCAGAGCAGCAGATGCAGAACAAGAGGTATAGAGTTAAGGTTTATATGCAATTCCTTAGATTTACTTAATTTTCAGAAAAAATATTATTTTCTGTTACTTTTTTATGTGTATTCTTCACTACTTATTATATTTTTACTCTCTATAAAAGAAATGTTTGTTATGGTCTCATCAATACAAAAAGGAGATTCTTGCCCAGGAAAAAATATATATTTCAACCAAACACCAATCCACACTTTATTTTAAAGTGTAACTTCTGGTATGCAAACAAACTACCTTGTTCTGATCTTATTTTCTGTGGCCTGCATTCACAGGACAAGTTTGTGCAGAGTTAGGGGTTCATGTCTTGCCACTGGATGTAGTCAAAGCAATGAGACTCCGCTGCCTGTAAAGGTTTTACATATTTTATATACGCAATTTGAAAAGAAAGATTGTGAAAATCGGCATTGTCGTTTTTTTTTTTTGCTTCATCGGGGACCGGGTCGCGGGGGCAGCAGTCTCAGCAGACTCCCAGATTTTCCTCTCTGCAGACACTTCCTCCATCTCTGCTTGGGGAAGCCTGAGGTGCTCCCAGGCCAGCTGAGAGACATAATCCCCATTTACACTAACCTTTTGAAACCGTGCTGAGATTGGTCTGAGCAAGGTAACCCGAGATAACTGTTGAGTATAAATAGCACGCAAAACTGAACTGGACCGAGCCAGACACAACCAAACTGCGCTAAACTGGTACCAGTTCATCAGTAGGGATCAGCGCAGTTCAGTTGTGTCTCAGTTCTCAGATAACAAAGAGCGCATGAGCAGACCGCGTCATCTCCTTACGTCAGCCTACATAATCATGAAATTTCAGACATTCATTAAAACACTAGCTTACCTCCCTCATTCCCAGTGATGATTCTGCTTAGCAATGTGATGTGCCTCAACATCCATTGTTGTTTTTTGCCTCTGTTAGCCCTGATTGGACTATCGTTTGTCGTATCCACTTCCCAAAAGCCGACTGTTGTTAAGTAAATTCACCAAAGGCTGCCTTCTTCGCCTGAATCTCTACAAACAATGAAATATCACAATGATAACAAAACATAACTTCCTGAATGTCACAGGCGCCACCATGTGGATTTGTTTAGTAGTACTGTAGATTGCCACTAGAAGGCAAGGAATCGCGCAAGGTGGTCTGTAAATGGACGTAAGGAACCAAGCATGGCACGATTAAGTAATCCATGCTCGGCAAAGATCACTTTTCAGAGGGTAGTGTAAATGGGGCTATAGTCCCTCCTCTAGGCCACCTCCCAATCAGGCATCCCGGGGGCTTCTCAAAAAGATGTCTGAGCCAACTCAGCTGACTCCTTTTATGTGGAGAATCAACGCTACTCTTGGCCTCTTCTGAATGAACCCTATCTCTAAGAGAGAACCCAGCCACCATGTGGAAAAAGTTCATTTCAGCCACTTGTGTCTGGGATCGGTCATGAATAATAGTTGAGTGTAGGAAAATAGACCGTCCTGTAAATCAAAGAAATTTTCCTTTTTGCTCAGCTCTCCCTTCACCACAACAGACCAGTGCAGCGTCCACATTACACTGATCCGTTTATCAATCTCCCGCTCCATTCTCACCAAGATACTAGAACGCTTCCACTTGAGGCAGAAACTTTCCTCAAACAGAATATAAGCCACCTTTTTTTTCCCACAATTTGTGCAAAATATTGTAAAAGATTGTTTTAGAGATTACATTTCTATAGATTAGACAGAGAGCCAAAGCAGTGGAATAAAGGTAATGCAGACAAAGGCCGTTTTCCAATTCACAAGAACGCAAGTCCGAGCTTGTGTCCTCGCCAAGTATGTTCTTCACAAGAACACAGTAAAATGTGGACCCGGGGAGAACGGGAGCATGCAGCATGACTATGAGTCAACTGGAACAGATGCGTTCTTGTGACGTCAACACACGCTCGGCTCGTCTGGAGCCATGACGTTTCTCCTCCTCTTATTAATAGTTTCTACATAATAATAAATTCTTACCCTTTCCATTTAGTGGTGGAATAATAATTAACAGGCGGGTATACACAAATCAAATGAACATTTCGCCAAATAAAACAACAAAATAGCCATCACAGGCAGCAGTACTTTACAAATGGCTATGTCGAGAAGAGGGCTGCTGCAGACAGGCTAAAATTAGCCCTTTTTGCGGTTAGCTTTTCTGGTTGCCACAGTCCTCTCAACATTGGAATTTTTTTCTTAATTATGTGGTTAATCAGTAAATGGGCCATATAGTGATGCTTAAAAGTATAATGAAGTATAATGTCCCATCCGGGGACTATGTCCATTCTTGGTCTTCTTGTGCATGTGAGTTGGAACAGTACTAGGGCTGAGGCTGATGGCGTTTCACAAACAAATGCACAGCTGACTTATAAAGGAAGGTCGTTTGTGCCAAAAAATTAGAATAATTTTCTTTTAAAAAAAACATACAGGTAAAAGCCAGTAAATTAGAATATTCTGAAAAATGATTTATATTTTGACACACGGAATTTTGGATTTTCATTTGTTGCCACTTCAAATCATCAAAATTAAATGAAATAAACATTTGAATGCATCAGTCTGTGTGCAATGAATAAATATAATGTACAAGTTACACCTTTTGAATGCAATTACTGAAATAAATCAAGTTTTTCTAAATACTCTAATTTACTGGCTTTTACATGTATGGTTACTCTATATCTGGACAAAAAAAATGTCTTACTTCTAACTATTTAACTGACTATATCAACTTGTTTGAGTGCATTTGTGTTACTCTACAAAGTGCAGAATAGGGAAACCTCATAATATTTTGCAAGAAAGAAGAAAGTAACACTAAATTTATTCCGTGCTCCTTCACAAGGCGACCTGCACAAATATGTCAATATCACACATTACAATAATGATAATAACAGTAAAAATGGTAGTGCTTTCTATTTTAAACAAAAAGCCATTAGATCCTGTTATACATTTGATATACATCTTTCTGAGTTATATTTGCAAAAGCACAAATTTACTGACAAAGTATTCACTATAGTTTACAATAAAAACATTACTTACAGATCCTTCCTGAATATCGTAGAACCTCTGCAGCAGCTGGATCGTAGTGCTTTTACCACATCCACTGCTACCAACCAACGCCATGGTCTGTCCACTGCTCACACTTAAGCACATTTGGTCTAATATCTGAGGAGGACACCAATGTTAGCTGTTAACCAGTTTAAACTGACAAAAAAATTTACTGTAGAAGTTCTTCCACAGAGCAGTAGATGTGGAACCAACCGTGACATCAGGCCTGGACGGGTAGCTAAAGTGGATGTTACTGAACTCTATGTTTCCTTTGATCGGGTCCGGCTTAAACCCAGTCTCTGAATAACTGTCGATAGTTGGATTCTGCAGATAAAAAAAGAACAGAAATGTGAAAATGTTTTCTTTGCCCAAATCAGGATTAAAATATTTCTACAAACACTTCAAACCAACATTAGGAGGAAGGCTGTTCGCCTTCCATGTTAGAGTGAGCAGGTTTAGCGAGACCAAATGTTTATTTCCTCAGTTCTTTGTGTTTTCGACTGCTTTTCTTGATGCAGTCAAGACTTAGACACATATTAAATTTCCCCTAATTTTCTCTGTAAGAAATTCTTTGAGTTAGATGCTTAAGCAATATTCAAATTAATTACCATGAATAAATCATATCACATCATATTTTGACATATGTAATTTTCTGAGGAGAATAGAGCCTCAAGACCTACTTAGGTGAGTCGTCTCTTGTCTAAGTGACTATGACCTCTGTTCAATAAAATAACAATAACCAACTACTGATAGATTTTTAAATCCCCTGCATTAAAAGAATGTATCAAAAGACGTCCGATTAATTTCAACACCTTTTTAAAAAATCTGAATCATTCAATTCCATTTCGAGAGCGAGATCATCTGTGGTAGTAGCACTAGACATCTTCCAGGCATGTGAGTAAAACTAGCAGCAGTTCAGTGGACAGGATGAATGAATGGTAGCTGGCACGCGTGGATGACATCATACACACTCTGCTTTGTTTTAAAAAAATATAAATATAAAAAATATAACCGCGGATGTCTGGGGGACAGTGATTCATAAAATTAAGGACCCAATTTAAAATAAAAAGATTTTCCCCTTTAAGGCTCACCTTAAACACACCACTGGAACTAGAAATTTTAATTTATAAATAAAAAAAGAAAAATAAAAAAAGAAAGGGAGAATGTTTTTTAAAGACAGAAACAGCGCTACAGCTGCAAAAGAATGGAAGATGGCGGGGAAGAAGATTGATGCTCGGATTAAAGCATAGGTTAATATATACATTTAGAAGGAGAGCGGAGACAGAGGTCGCCGATTTTACTGAACAATGTTAGCACTGGGGAGAATGTTCCTACAGCAACAGGTCGATTAACCTGCTTTTTAAAATGGAGCCCTGCAGGGCTTCTTATTGTAGATGAATTCATAATAATTTTTTTAGCCTTGAAGAAAAATATTTGAAAAATAACAGTATGGTTTATCAATTTACATTAAAAGTCACTGGGTGGATGTAGAAAATAAGCTGGATTCACTAAATGGGATTGGATTTACACAAAAAAACAACTGTGCAGCATCAACTGAATGACCCACAGTTCTTCTCTGAGGCAGCAGGGGCTCCAATTAGAGAAAAGTCCTTCAAGTCATTATAGTTGGCAGTTGGCTGCTTCAAAGGAACCTCACAGTGTGCCAAAGTGCAGCAATGCACATTCAGTGATAAAATCTGACAACACGCCTTCAGACAAAAAGTGTGCGTTAGTTCATATTTGTTGCATTACTCACATGATCGATGATGTTGTACACCTTATAGGCAGCTCCGCGGGCACTAGCAAATGTCTGAATGTTGGGAGACGTTTGCCCCATTGCAAACACTCCAATGATCACAACAAAAAATACCTAATAAAAAGGAAATAATGCTCTTATTTAGCAAACACTACTTTAATCTTAAATTGAGCTAAACAGATCAAGCCGACAATGTGTGTTTGCCTACTGTGAGTGTAGCGTGGTACAGCATGAAGCTGTCTCCACTACACATTTAATTTGAAATTCCGCTTTATTTTTCTTCTGCAAAGAGCCAAAAATGTTGATATTAGAATCAGAGTTCGCCACACACGTATATCAGCTTCACAGTCTATACGTGTCCTCATTCTCTGAATGACCGAGAACACACAGTGTGGCGAACGCGCCCTCTGCTGGTCAGGGGTCGACAGTGACTTCTGTTCAATAACTAATTTCAACATAACAAAATCACCTGTACTTATTAGAAAATAAATTCACCACAACTTGAACATAACAGTGGTACATTTATATTAGATTTAACATGTTTTTTTGATTATGGGGTGGATATTTTAACCTACTGATGGCTCTGTATGCCACACTCTCCTCCCCAATAACAAATGTCCACAGACATTTCTGATACCCAAAATGTACCATGCCACATATTGAAGTTTCTTACTGATAACATGGTATTACCTATGATGTAATTTTTAATTTTTTTTTTTTGTGTCGCCCTTGACATGACATACAATTAGTACTTATTCATCAAAGTATCTGGACAATTTAGCCCTAATACCAGTAAACATCAGCTACTGTACTTTAGACCCTATTTGGATCAACACTCTCATGTAACAGAACTCATATCGGCCTCAGTTCTTTTAGTCTGTTACCCGTCTCTATCTGTACAGTACTACTTCAATACATTCTCCTGGAAGCGTCTCTTCACTCGATCCAATTTCACCATTGTCCTTTTACCTTTTTAGTCAATTTTCTTGCAGCTAGTTTGTGTGAGTTCAACCCATTACCTCAGTATCCAGAGATGTCCATGGACGCCACATGGTTGGTGGTTTGCAGGCTGGAGTCATACTCACGACTGGCAGGCTCTCCGCACCGGCTTTCACCCACGTTGGCTCACCCAAGGCATTGTAGGTCAGAACCTGGGGACGGTGCCGATGTCGCTGCGGGTAGCTTTTCACTGGTGGAGGGTCAGGATCATCCTCTGACGACTCTTGCAGACTTTCCCTGGCCTCTGTAGTGTCGTTCACCTTGCCTCCGTCAGCTGCGATGCCTCTGTTGTCAGTCTCTGCGTGCTCCTGAGCCATCGTTCCATCTTCCAGA